ACTAGAATAAAAGCAAAGTCAAATTAACAAAATGACAAGAGTATGCTCCTTCTACACCAGTGGAATTTGTAGGAAAAAGTCTCAGGTTGCTGAGTAAGGTGTATTTATTTATATGGACAAACTATGTACAGTGACTTGTTTTAAATGCAATTGGCTTATGAATAGGTTCATTTTTTAAAGAGAATTACCAAGGCAATGTGACCGAGCATTAGTTTATGTCACTGCCTTCTCATACATTATTTGCATATAGGAGGTAAAATATTAATATTCATATTTATAGTAATGGAAGAATGATACTTCTAAGTTTGAGTCATTGTTGATGATGTTTATATAACCTGAAAGGCATCAAAAAGAGGGAGTGTTTATTACGTAATTAACTTTGTTCAGGATCCAAGCTATAAACGACATCATTCACTGAGTACAGATTTCCTTTGAACTGCCTCATGATAATCAAGAAGGACATTGTTGGGGCTACTTGAATTTCAAGTCAGGAACTTTCTTTACTGCTGAAACAAGCATTTCTATTTCAGAAACGCTTCATGGGCCTTCAGATGCTTAGCTAAATATATTCAGCACTCAAGGATGTGTGCATTTTTCCACAATCGAATTAGACGAAGCTTACATATGCACACACTAAAATGTAACTCTTTTAACAGAGTCATAAAACCTTTAGAGATAATGCCTATGTTTGCAGGATTTAAAAAAGCTATAAATGAGTTGATTTTTTTCAATCATTTGCAGATGAAGTAAGAAAATGTAATTATAACTTTTTAATGTCAAAGTTATAGCTCCTAATCTCTTATATATAGAAAACTGATTTACAAACACATTGGAATGACTTAGTAACTGTCAGATATATGGTAATGAAACACATCTTGAAAATGAGGCATGTCTTCTGTTCATTTTGAGTACCAAAAATGTCACATGACATGAGCTAGAAATGGACCTATGTACAATTCTTGCTTTCTGACCCGACCCCAGAGTAGAATGTGAGCACTTGAATGGAACATCTCCCAGAAAACAATTGAAGTATAATTCGGCTTTTAAAAACCTCTTTCTTTCCCTCCCTTCAGTTAGTACCTGCAACACACAAACAGGAAGGGGCACCAACCCTTGCCTTGACTGGAATGGAAAGATCTAAGCTATGGGCTACGAGGAGACTCTGTGACCATCTTCTCTCTCTGCTACTTCATGGCTTGAGCAACTGAATGATCACAATAACCAGAAGAAATAATCAGGGATGTTTCCCTCATTCTTTCAATCCCCAAACAAAATAGGCAATTTACTAGATTATGAACTTTTAGTTATCTTTTCTTATATTTTCAACTTTCTCTTCATGTGGAGTCTCATAAGAGAACGTTATCCAAAGAAGTATTTTGGTCAGAGATCATGAACAAAAAGAACAAGGGAACATGGAGAGAAATGATTACTGTGAGCCACTAAGAAGGCCTGAGGGGAGGATTGGATGGGATAAAGGGGCCAAGAGAAACACGGTGGTCAGACTTAGGATCCAAACAAGAGTTTCTCGTTTGCTTTTGAGGGACAGGGAAGTCAGCAGAATGAGGGAAAGGGGGAGGAAGCCAAAAGCTGTTCAGTGGTGGAAGGAAGACACAGTCCTCCTGGGAGCATCAAAAACACGGCAGGAAAAATGGAGCAGAGACTGAAGTTTCATGGAAATAAAGTTGTAAGAAAAGAAAAAAAAACCAATATAAGGAGACGTAACAGAATTTAGTCATATGTCAATATAAAATTTATCATCTTACATATTGAAACCATTATAATTATAATATTAGGTAAGAAGGGATTTTAGAGGGGGAATTGCAAATGTCTGCACTCCCAAAGGACAGTCTGCCTTATATCTAATGGCAGAATTAAAATGGAAACAGAGGTAAAGGTCAGAAAATACTGGGTAGAAATGTATTGTCTGAATCTTTTTTCTGATGGACACTAATCAGATATATACTAAGAGGCCTAAGAACTGGGATTATAAATTTCTTAACTAGTAGAAAGTGATTTCTCATTGCCCCTTCTTGGACAAAAATGCAAATTTAATAGTGAATATTTGGAGTGAGAATTAAAATAAAATGGGAAGGAATTCATTCTGTCTCTCTTTTTATAACCCTTAATCTTTTAGTTAGGTTTGCTAAACCTTGAGAAACAGAAAGTAATATTTCACCACATGTGTAAATTAGACTCAAGAAATGGATACAAATGTGTAAAAGGTGTGTCTCAAAAATAATTATCTAAAAATCAAATTAAACTTGGCACAGAATGCCAATGCTTGGGCTCTACCAATATCTTCCCTGTAATGAAAGTTGTTCATCCTTCACAAAACAGCACAGAAGATGGAGGCTGAGATGCACGCACACCGGAAGATAAGTCTACACTGCATACTCAGTCACTTAGAGCAAGCGTACTCAGTGCTTTAAGTACGATGGAAACGTGTTTTTCGATAACAATTCCTGGGATTATCTTCAAGTATATCATCTAAAATCTACATAATCACATAAACATGATTAAGACTTCTAGAACAAGGCAGCCCTCAAGGTTCCGATAGAAATGTAGAGAAGACATACCTTTTATAAAGAAGAATAGCAATCACAATACAGATGATAAAGACCACTGCAAGGACAGGACCTACGACCCATATCAAGCCTTCCTCTTCATCCGTGATTGGCTGTGGATCCAGATCCATTGACACAACAGGATCAGAGTATGGGCTGGTTGCATACATCTTCTGAGGAAGAGCAGAGACCATTTTAGTTAGAAAATAATGGCTTTCTAGACTGTATCTTCAGCACTAAGATAAGATAAAACCAAGACACAGTGTACTCGATGACAGGGTGATGTAGTGACATTAGTTAAATGCTAGAGAATGGAAGGGAGGGTGAAAAGAAATACAGGAAACAGCATAGCAAGCCGGACAAGAAAGACATTTTCCAATACTGGTTTTTAAAAAACAAATAAAATATAAAAGAGTTTTTGATGGGGTAAATTACTTCAAAGGTACTTTTTCAGTGGAACTTACATATATAATATTATATGACTTCATTAAGTGCAAAGAACCAAAAATTAAGCATCAATCAATATTCAGTTAGCATCTGCACTATGCTAATGTATTAATGACCATGTGAAAATAAATATATTAGAATTTTAGCCTCAAGGCACCACAAGTTGAATAGTCCCAGTCGCAAACCATGAATCCAAGTGCTCTGAAATCCAAAATGTTTTAAGAAATTTCAGATAATTTTTTAGATTTTGGGGCTTAGGGATGTTCAGTGGATAAAGTCTATGCAAGCATTCCAACAGACAATCAATGCAGTACCCAGGGGCAGACATGAAAGTTGGCAAAAATTCTTCCAGGAAAATAAACCAGCATTTAATACGACATGAGAACACACCACCCCTTCGCATTCTGTACATTATTGGGTCAAACTAGAGCAGTTAAATCTACGAGAACTCAAATATTTCAATTAGAGTTACAGGGTATGGAATTAATGATACCGCTTTGTAAAACAAAATTCTTAGAACTTGAAGAGATTTAGTAGTTTCTATTTAAATTTACTATAACTACTGATTAGAAGTTGATGTTTGTCTCCAACAGATAACTGATAGCATATTTTTCAAAAATAGTTAATAGAGGAATGAGCTTTGTTTCTGTAACATCCTGTTTTGTTCTGCTCCATTTCATCTCATTTTAAAATTGTTCCTTAGGCACTGCCCAACTTAGGACCAGTTCATACCCACTGGCTGCCCTGTGTCTCCTTCGGTTCAGTCTCGCTTCACTCAAACCCAACCTTTAGTCCTATTACCCCATTTGCTAAATCTAATCTTTATGCAGTCCCTTCCTCTCACATATCTTTTCAGAGTTGCAATGATCGAGGAAGGCTTTTAAACAGCTGCCCTAAGTCTCGTACCAGCTCCTTCCCAGCCTTTCCACTCACTGCCTCTGACTTTCTGAGACAGCATTGCTCTGTTCTGCTCTCTGCCTCCCTCCTCTTCATCCTGTGACCAGACAATGTCCAATTTTAACTACTCTACCAGCCAGCCTCTATGCAGATAAGTTTCTCTTTAATGCTCCTAAACTCAGAACCTCTAGGGCACACATTTTCATGTCCAATTGTCTTGGCATTCAGATGCAAATGAAATGGTGCCTGAGTTACTTCCCTTCTAGACACATCTTCTTCTTGATTTCCTGTTTTCTCTTACACTCTCACTTCGAAAGGAAACTATGTATTTGACTTATCAGTAGCCCAGTGTTCCTTTTTGTTCTTGGGCTTCATTAATGCTCTTCTGTCTACACCAACCATTTCTTTATTTGGATGAACCTGACTGCTACTCTAGTTATCCTCCTAGCCTGCAATTGTTGAATCTTTCAGAGGCTCTCTGGTGGTTAGTCAAGGAAAACTGTACCTGATCATGGTTACCAGGACCTTTAATCCCCTTTCCCAGGTGAACACATTGTACCACAGTGAGCTTTTGTTGTTGTTTTTGCTCTTTAACAAGCTCACAAGTTGCATAATATTTAGTTCCTAAAACTCAATGACTTTTCAAGGTCCCACTTAAACACTGCATTGTTTACTGCAAGAATTCAATCCTAAAAAAAATACCAGATACAAATAAAAATATCTTTACTTAATCTTTCTTTTGTAAAAGCAGTCATGAAATTCTATTTTTAAAAAAATCGTATACGTACTTCATTTCCTTTCATGAACCTAAATCCCTGGGAGATTTGGGGTATATCTACTATTTGTGTTGAATTTGTTTAAAGTACTCAATAGGCAGAGAACAGAACTGAAGACCTCTAGCCCAGAAAGTCAAAAGCAATGCTTTCATAGACCTTGAGTACTGGGAAAGCCAGGAAGGAGCTTGTAGAGTAGAAAACTATGGCAGCTTTTAAAAGTCTTGTTCATGTGGGCAGCTGATTACTGGTGGGTGAGGAAGAGCTGATCTTCTTAAAGGGAGGGACTCGAGATAGACTGACTAGACCTCAGTGGATGAACTTGCAGTGAGGGACATCTGGGGACACTAACTTGACATTATAGGTCTTAACACAAATAACAGAATGTATGAATTCCAGTGAGGGGGCTATGGGAGGGGATCAGTGGGGAAGGGGGTATAAAGATGATTAAGGTATTCTGTATTAAATATACAAGAATTCAATTAAAAATTAAGAGAAAAGTCTTGCTCAATCAGTGCAAGTCTGAGAAGCTGTATGGATGGGTACTAATACTTTGTACTTAGTAGTTCTTAGCAAACCTTTGTTGAATAAAATAAAAATAAGCTCTCATCTTTTCAAATGGCTGAGATTGCCAAGACTTTAGTGTATACATTTGTTTTTCACGATCGACAAATAGAGTGAAGTTTTTAATCTTCATCGTTCAAAAACTGAGCTTAAGGCACACACTCTGAGTGTTAGTGCCACAAGCTCTGAAGATGGTGGAACACATGCTCCACCAAGCCCTCTTTCCTTCACTTCGCCAGCACCGGGGTTGGAAGTCCTCCCAATATTTTGTAGTGTTTCAGAGCAGATGGAATCTCCGTGTAGTTTTTGAGCTATCTGAGATGGAGCTGAAGGCAAGGGAGGGAGGATGGAGCACAGACAGATGTATATGGCACAGGACTTACATAAAGGTTTTGGCACTGAGCCTGTGTATCCAAGAAACATGATTCTTTAGATGTTTGTTTTGGTAATCCCCCTCCCATATTGTAGGCTATGGTCAAATTAATGGCAGTAAGTGAACTTGCTGATTTGAAATTCTTTAATGGGAGCCACTGAAATAATAATCTCCATCAATCAAAATGGAAATGTAAGGAAAGGGCTTCCTAAAGTATACAGAGTCTAACTCGAGTCAGTAAAGAGAACTGTGTTAAAAGGGAAAAGAAAGCATAGTCATAAATGAAGTCAGCCTCATGAAAAAGAGAATTTGATGAGTAGGAAGAAATACTAGAAGAGATTAAACAGCAAATCATTCAAAACCAGTTTTGTGATATGCTTAATGGGAGGCAATGGATTAGCAGAAAAGTCTTGTCTGTGCTGGGGAAGATGAAAAGGACAGAGTAGTATTCATTTCTACAAAGTGCCAAGCCCCCTTTGGAGTGGGAGTATTATTATCACTCAACCACGGAGATATGAAGCTTTCAAAAGGACCGCCTCACTGCAAACACTCTGGCGAGGTACAATTGTTGGCTATGAAATGAATGTTGGTCTGAGTAGACACGACATTCAGAGGAAACATGGTTTGTTTTGAAAGTAATGTCAAGAATTAGGATGGGGAAGTTGGGCAATTAAGAAAACAAATTTGAAAATTTCTATTAATCCTATACTTAATAAGACAGTGAGATGATGTAAGAGAGGAACAGATTCTACATCAACGATGAGACATCCACATGTGAGTGAAAGTGGCCAGTAGGCATCAGACCCCAGTGTACCCAGTAGATCAGTGCATCAGTCTCCAGATTTGAGGGAGATTTCCTAGCCAGATTCTGTGATCTACCTCAGTGTTTTGAATACACTTTCTGCAACACTCCTAGAACTATTTAAGGAAATTTTCTCTCAAGTATCTGCCTTTATTGTTAAAGAAAAAGATGGTTTCTAATATTCCATTCCCCTGGGGTTCTATTTAAAAGCCTCTAGCTAGACAGGGAGAGCATTTCTGCATATTGGGAAGGCCGTCAAGTGACATTTCACACACAAAGGTAAGTGAGGCTACTTTTGGACTCGCTCTGATTTTCCATGGGAGAATTCCTTCAGCCATCTGAAGAGTAGCTCTACTGCACAGGAGAACACCTGATGTTGAAAGACCTTTCATAAAACAGTGAGCTTCTTACATAAAGAAGCCCACTCAACTCAGTTGCCAAGCCTGTCAGATGAAAGGCTTGATTAGATGGACACAGTTCAGAATATATCTATTAAATGCTAATGTGAACTGCCACCTCTTCCAGTCTACTATTTTTCTCCCTGTTTTCTTTTCTTTAAACTTTCAAAGCAACTGAAGCATGAAACAGCGTAAGAGCAGTATGAATTACAGAGAATGAGAGAACGCATTATGTTGAGTACCTGAGGATTTCTCCCTTGCATTGTATTATTTTCCAACTTTCTTGGGGTTTCATTGATAAAGACATTCATAATATAATTCAAGACACTCGTTGTGTCTGCCTCTTCCAAAAAGGACTTTCTGGTGAATCTGGGTAGAAGCTCTGTGTTCTCATTTGTAGGAGAATGAAGGCACTAACTCCCCTAGTCCACGTTTTCAAACATTTCCAAATAAGCTACTTGAGTTACAGAGCTCCTAGTTCCTACTAGGTCCACATGGGCTACTGCCTACAAGGATTATGTAAGATGTCAATGGTAGCTCTTTTTTTTTTTTTTTTAGGGAAAGTTTTTAAAAATTATTTATTTAATAACCACATAGGTAGAAGAAGCATTTCATTACATCAGCATTGATATATTCAATAACAATTTTCTGAGCTAGGATGGATCTCTTACAAAAGAAGCATTATCAGCATTGATATATTTAATAACAATTTTCTGAGCTAGGATGGATCTCTTACAAAATTGTCTGTATATTTTTAGGTTTATGGTTGAATTATTACAGTTATACACTATTGTACTCAGTATAAACCTTATAAGACATAAAATTAAATGTGGTTTTAATGTTAAAAAAAATTTCAACCTTTAAAAAGTGATCTCCATTTCATTTAAAAATATGCTATTTCATAAAGAAAAAACTCATTTTCAATGCTACTAACACTTAGATGTTTGCACATGCGTCTCTAATCTCTATGTATCTGATTATTACTAGTCACAGTCGGTTACTTTCTAAGCTACTTGGCATCTGAGCATAGATATAAAGTCATTAGGTAAATTTCAATGATAATGTTTTTCACATCTACTAATTATTAAAGAGCAAATTTTTATGCTTTGAAGAATTGCTATTTTTTTAATCATTATATATTTTTAAATTTTTTTAATAACTACATGATTAGAAGATTTTCACTACAGCTTTAACATATTCAGTAACACACTCCAGAGCAACAGTACATCTCTTTCACAAGTGGGTGCAAGTTTCTAGGTTCACAGTTGAATTAATATAGTTATATATTGTCATTTTCAGTGAAAGGAAGGAGAGATTAGACAATGGCGAGGGAACCCTATGCTACGTGGTCACATGGACAGGCCGAAAGACCCATGTCCTATCCGTCTGGTACTTCATCCTCCAGAAGTTCACCTGAACTTCCTGTCATCAGAGGAGTCATCTTGTTTGAAACATTGTACCATGCAGGATTCTCAACAATCTGAAAGAGTGGGCAGCCTGTAGTTACACTTTCATTGAAGATCGCTCTTAAGAAATTAAGGTGGATGCATGCATACCCCCAAACATATGACACGCTGGTGAAAATGTACAAGCAAAGCAAGGCAAGCAGATCCCATATAATCAACTTACAGACTCTGCGTGTTCCATCACCGCTAACACAAAGAAGACATATTCCTGTCCACTTTGGAGCTGCTTGTTTGTAAATCCACCGTAGTGCTTGTCATCCCCCAGGGTGAACTCGGTGGGAAGGACATCAAAGTGAGCAGCAATATATGGCTTTAATTCAACTTCTCTCCCATAACGGATGCTTCTGCGTTTCCTAGATATCTCCTTAAGCAGCTTAGGGAAAAAAGTGACACACACAAAGAAACATAAACAACCAACTTATTGATGGGTTTGTGGGGGAAATTAATTCAGGACTGGCAACAACCAGATACAAGTTTTCCACCTTCCATGTAGCAGGTCAGCATCACTGAATCTCAGCTCTCTTGATCCTCAAAAATTTACTTCCTGTGAAGGGAAATACTGGACTGTTTTGCAAGACCCAGGCTATAAAAACAGGGCAATTAGACCTTGCCTGGCAGCTCATATTTCCGACACTAATGAAATTCTTTCAAAGGGCAATACTACATCATAACCTGTTTAAGGGAAAAACATAGCTTGATTCATAAAAGTCTGGTCTTGCGGGAGATCTGTTAAATAATCAGTAGTCTCAGATAAAGCTACTTAGGTTTTCAAGTGGGACATTTTTGGAGAGGAAATTCTCACAAGTCAACAGAATCAGATTCTAATTTAAAAATTTTTTAATTTTCCTATGCTAAATAGACACTGTCAATCATTTTGCTTTCTGGCTCAGCTTGCCTCTTTCATTAACTAGTTCGGAAGAGAGTCCCACTTTTTCTAACCATGGAGGCAATGTCTCTTAGAATCTAGCTCTGAGAAGTTTCAGTATCTATGTAGGTTACATGGGTAGGGAGGACAAGAGTAATTTTCAACATCATTAAGAAAAGAAAATGGAGATAGTTACAAACACACATTTTACTTTTATTTCTAAGAAAATCTAAAAATTATTTTTGAATATTTTATTGATTTTCATTGACTTTTTTAGGACAATATCACATTAACAACAGACTTGATTTCAAAAATTGTCAAAGTTATCTTTAATTACCCATTCATATTATTTTATAGGGTCTAACTGGGAAGAAGTCTACCTCTGTCTCGGCAGCCTTTTGAGGTAAGTGACACATGCTTAGTTGCTTCTTGGAAAGAATTTTAAATTTGTCTTAATGTCTACAAGAAAGGCCATGTGTGAGAACAAGCTGAAGAAAATCTGTCTACCCGAGGGCAAACCTGGTCTTTATCTTGATAAACAAAGTTAAGGTACTTAGGGAAATTTTGCAGCAAACCCACTAACTACACTTGATTTCACACAGGAAAGGATATATACAGTACAAGCCAAAGTAGTGGCACAAACATGTAGCACCATGTATAAAGACACTTATATGCATTGTCAAGGAGAGCTTCAGGAGGACAAAGGCTGAAGACTTTGTTCTTAGCAAGTTCACATGGCTCTGTCTGCAACCTGACCTGCTACAGTCCAACACAGGACCACAAACACATCCACCTGACACAAAAGCAAATCATGGAGACGAGTCTTCTGGCTATATAGACAATTTACGCCTCTCGAATTGTCAATAACATTTAGTTTATAATACTCTAAACATTTGTGTGACATTTGAGGCTATTGCTGCACCTAAAATGATATGAGATAGATGACATTTTGTGAAAACAGAGACGATGAGACACAATATCTGGCAAATTTTCATCTAAATGCCTGCGTATGAATGTATACATCCATGTGGGCCAATCAGTGATGCACCAGCTGGCCAGGGTAAAAAGAAGGACAGGGATTTACCTGGCAATTCTGTTGTCAAATTTAGTTTTATTTACAAGGCTGATGGTACTTAATAGCTAACTATTTGCAAGGTGCCAGATTCTCTGCTAGGAAGCCTAAACATACATTATTAGTTAATTTAGTCCCCATAATAAACATGTGAGATTGGTCCCTATTACCCCCATTTCTGAATGAACAAACTGAGGCAGGACAGAAAGTCTCAGTGTGTGAGTAAACTTAATAGGTTTAAAAAAATTAAATTACACACAGGGGACTATTTCAAACTCATTTTTGCTTAGTGACTGCACAAAGTCAAGAAATCTAATTCTATGTCTAAGCTCCGAGTATCTAAATTATTTTAGCTCAGTCTGCACTTACATAATTTTTGTGCATCTGCTTTCATTAACATAGATGAATGAGATCTTTTCTTTTCCCAGATCCTTTTAACATGCAAATTAAAAAATTCTGATACAAAATAATAATGCAACATTATAGTTGAAAGGTTACAATAAAGGTTATTGTCAACATGCAGTAAATGATGATAGCCTGGGATTTTGAGGAGAAACACACTACGAATGAGCTGAACAGCCTTTTGAAGTTGGTCAATCAAAAACATTTACCATCACTTGTTTACCTGACTGCATCCTCCCTTCCACTTCACCAATCAAACCCTACCTTTATTTTATTGATATTTCAGATGTAGGCAGCTGTCATAACTCATCCATATCACTATCATTCCCATGAGTATCTTTTGCTGGGTTTATTTAAAAGACTTAAAGCCAGTGTCTCAGAATAAAATAGCATAGAATTTTGCTGTTCCTTAGGTACAAGGCAGTCAGTCATTCACGAAAGTCGAATCTGGAGCATGGCCTTGCCCCTGAAGGCTACCCTGTAGGAGGCTTCCTGTGTTCCCCTTCGAATGGCCCCAGTGAGCTCAAATGACACCAAAGTTAGCCAGGATGTGGAAATTATAGCCACAAATGGCCATATCATTTTACAGGCAAGACATTCAAGAATGGTGCAAAGAAAAGTGCCCAGCAGATAACGTGACTTCCCCAAAGTCAATGCAACTAACATTTGGGAATCATTCTGCCCCAGATTCATTTCAGCTATCACTGTCTGTTCTGCTCAGTTTGACCTTGAAAACAGGAATTCCACTCTATGAATTAATCATTCAGAGAGCATTCCTAGACAATAAAATTTTGAGAGTAACTCTGTTCAGAAAGCTTTCTTCAGTTTTGCCTGAGCCCGGATGTGAGGTGTATATGTGGAAGTCCTCTTTGGCCATTGGTTTATTTAATGATATAGTTCCAACAATTTGAATTATGGGCTTTTCTGAAAAATCACTTGGTTACATATGTTTAAGAAAAGAACAATGATTTGTCAAATCTGGCAGTCCCAAGCTCTAGATAAAATTAATAGAATGCATTTACTATATATGCTAAATGAAACACAGGTCCTGTCTGGAAGGGTTGGACACTGGATGACTAAGCAGAAAGTGAGGCCTCCTCCCCTCTGTTCCTTTCCATAGCAGTTACCAAACATACTGGACATAATTCCAGATTCCAGAAGTTATATCAAGGGCTTTAGTTCTTTATCAGAAATAATTCTCATTTTCCAGTCAATGCATATCTTATTTCTTCCACCATTAATTCTGCAATGTGGTCTCAATTATAACTGTAAGAAAAGTGAGAAACAACCCATCCTGACCCAAAAAATTTGAATTAATAAAACGTTCTTTATCAAGCTATTATACAGATTAATGCACCACAACTTGCAAGATGATTAAAATGACCCTTTGTTATGGGAATCCGTAGCACAGACCTGTGGAACTTAATTGCAAGAAAGTTCAATGTCACACAGACCTGTATTTTAATCCATTAGCACTGCTGTGCATTTTGGAGCTTAAAACCTGCTGTGAAAGAGAATCACTTCTATCACTTCCTATCAAATGGCCTAACTTCTACAGAACGCTGATTATTGAAAGCGTCCCATGTCATTTTACCTTGAATCTCAGTGCTCTGAAACTTCTTTTTAAAAAACAGGTAGAAAGATTTACAGATTCTACAGGTTGCCTTTGCCTTTTAAATTTAATTTCATCTAAAATGTGAAGGTGACAAGTCTATAGTTCAGCTAAGAGCTGATTAAATAGTCGACTATCTTATGATTAACTGATCAGATGAAGGATTCTTCTATCTCTACGATCATAACTGACAGAAGAATAAACTGACAACTCTCTAAACTATTTGACCACATTACTGAAATAATGTGTCATTTTATAACCCAGCAATGATCAACCCATCAGTGAACAGTGAGTGACACATAATATGGGGCTAAATTTGAACTTGTCATGCCTTCTGAACCTTATGAAATTTAACTCAGAGAAATGCAGTGACTGATGACAAATCCCAGTTCTAGACATGACACACATCTGTCAAAGTTGCTTACAGCTCTCCCACCCACTTTTTGTTAGACCACAGTCTCCTTTACACAGTTTTTAAAAAGAGTGAAAAAATAATGTTGGGGCAGGAGACATGGCTCAGCATTTAAAATCACTGTCTGCTCTTGCAGAGGACCCAGGTTCAGTTCCCACCACCCATACTGTAGCTAACAACCATGTGTAACTGCAGTTCCAGGGAATCTGACACTCTCTTCTGGCCTCCATGGGCACTGCATGCATGTGGTACACTTACATACATGTAGGCAAAACACTCATACACATAAAATAAAAACAAATAAGAAGTGTAAAAAAAACTGTTATTACAGTTGGGGAATTTATCTTTATTGCTCCATTTGTATTAATTTTCCAGAAAAATAATCTAGAAATAGCAGGTTGCATTATGAGTTATGGCCCATGTTGTAAATAGACCACATAAATTAAAACTTTATAGTTCTTGATGTGGGAGAGGAATTTTTCATAAAAACTTATTTTGTTAGAATAACAAAAGCTCTCCTGTATCTCAAAGGTGAATCTCAGCCTCTGCTATCTGACTGTGGTCATGACTGTGATCTGAATACTTCGGCTTAGTTTTCTCACTACACAGACAAAAGTAACAATTCAGTGCCCTTTCAATACCAAAGTGTTTAGTGATTGCTGCTTTTGTTCTAGATTCCTTACTTTGAATAGAATTTTGTGATTTATTTTGTTGTCTTCTCCAGTTAAATGCACATTTGATTCCAAAAAACCTACAGATCAGAGAATAAGGCCAACATCAGTTAATTAGCAGAATTCTCTGGAAACATGGTCAAGACCACAGAGTAGTCAAATGGAAGGTGCTGTAAGTGCACCCAGGATCTTTAACAGCCCCGGCAGGCAACTGCCAAGCTAATGAGGACCCCAGGAACGTATTAACAGCAACAACTTCACCTTCCACCCTTCTGCATCAGGTGGGCTGACAAAGTAGTAAGGACAAAAAATACAAAGGAAGTTTTAGTCTTTACTGCAGCCTAATATCTTTTAATTAAAGCAGCAAGACCTGGGGTAGGGCCCCTAGAGTGTAGTAGGCCCACTTCACTGAGCTATCCATCCAGCCAGATGTTTGGTAGTCAGCACCTGCACATGATGCTGAAAGGCCTCCACAGAGGGTAAGAATTAATAAACGATGCATCTAAAGAAAGGCACACAACAGAGTCATGGTTACCTCATCTAATTCCATTTCATCAGGGCTCTCCCAGGGCTTGATGAATTTTCCACGAGATTTCTTCAAAGGCACAATGATAATGTAGTAACCTCTACACAGGATTGAGAAGAGAAAAGTAAGGTTAGTTCATAAAAGAGAGAAAGTGCCTATTGCTTTAAATCTTCTATAGACCACTGATTAAGGTGGAAGGCAAGTTACAGATAGAGAGCAACCCACCTGCTTCTTACATCAAGGACAAATAACTACCTGTTTGTGCAATTTTAAAAACAACATGGGTAGACATTAAGGGGTGACTGCAACGATCTTATAGAGTAATATCACCATGGTTGGTTACTCTTTATTAGGAATCACAAACAGAGCAGACGTTCTGTGAAAACCCTGCTGCTACTGAACACATATCAGGTATATTAAAATCTACCACTGAAAGCTACTGGCTCAGTATTTCCTATAATATCAACTAATAAGAAGGCTTGTATATAATAAAATTTATTATCTCCCATAAGTATATATTATTTTGTACACATAAAACTACTTTTGTTGTAGTTAAATAAAAATTAAGAGTATTTTAAAAATCACTGATAATCTTATAATAATTATGTAAAGATATGAAAGCTCCTCGCTTTTTGTTATCCATCCAATTGCAAAACTTTAAGTAGTAACAGAATTTGGGGGAATAAAATAGAATTAGGGTTTTCTTACCTAAAGACCTTTAAACTAAGAGTCAGTGTAATAATATGTATAGAAAGAAAGAAAAACAACCAAGTCCTCACAATGAAGAAGATCAATTCAAATGTAAGACCTGGGGCTGGAGAGATGGCTCAGCAGTTAAGAGCATTAGCCGTTCTTGTAGAGGACCTGGGTTCAGTTCCTAGCACCTGCATGGTGGCTAAAAACCATGTAACTTAAGTGCTCCAGGGGATCCGACACCCCCCTTCTGGCCTCTGCTGCCACTGCAGGACATGGGTGCACATATGCAGGCAAAACACTCATATACATAATAAAGATAAATAAAATGTAAGATCCGCATAAACCACGTGCTCAAGAACAGGTGCGCACTCCTAGCCAGGCTGTTTCAAGACTTCAGAATACTACGTGTCCTCTTCTGTTTCACCGTAAGGACCCCGCTCATATCAGACTTTGGTATGAACTACGTACGATTTTGATCATTACCGATAACTAATAACAGTAGTTTTGTTCTAACTTCAGGCAGTGTATTAAATGCATAACTGGATATTTCTCTCTAATAGCACAATCCATCAAGAACTAGGGGCAGGCTATATAATGCTATAAGATCAGAAGACACAGAAAAACAGCAGCAATTAAATATTTCCCCAAGTTTAAACAGATAGTAAGTGTATTCAAACCTTCATAAGGGCCTGAGTCTTTTTTCGTTTATTCTATGTATCATAAATATTCTTAAGAGCCTCATATATTTGGTGGAGATTAATAGCAAAAACGAAAACACATACGAATGTGCATAGGAAAGGATTCACACATTTTTAAAGAGAAGATCATCACAAGGAGCAAAGGCCATGTAATGTATCTTAGTAAAATTCTACAGTAGTGATCACATGTTGAAATGACAACAATGCAGATATAATGAGTTAAACCAAATATTAAAATGAATTGCATTTCATTTTTCTTTTTACAATTACAGCTACTAGAACTTAACTTGTTATATTTGGTTCTCACTGTGTTAGCTAGGCACTGGCTCCCTAGAGCATTCTGGAAAGAATATGCCACCTGTAATATATCTAGCCCAGAGTTGGGGCAATGCTACTAACCTGCTCAGAGATCTCAGGCTGCTGATTTAACACCTTTGAATCAGAGTTGTATATTTTTTAAAAGGGGAGTAAATACTATCAGGCTGTTGTCTGCAGGAAATAAAGTGAGTTGTCAAAGTACTTCCGGGTGTGTGTGTGTGTGGCACACAGCACTAAACGGATGCCAGATGCTCGTGGCGAACCTGCCTGCCTGGAAAGGAGGATCCATCTGAGCCCCATTTTTCACTAAGGTTGCTGGAAATCTGTGAGATGCAGGTAAAAGAACTACTTGAACTTTCCCCCCAATCAAGAATTCAAGTCAAACCAGAGAATTAGACAAGAATCCTTTTCTGTTCATGGTGTTCTGAGCAACTAATAAACAGATGCACAGGACTCTATCACCGGCCCATTCATTGTCTTCACTACAAATAATCCATGATGATCAAGGAGGGTGTGGAGAAGTAAGAGCTGCAGTGTGTGAGAGGCTAGGATTTTTTTAATTTTATGATCCGAAGTAAGTTTCCTTCTCATCACATCCTCCCAAACAAGTCCATCATATTAAATGAGCATGGAAAAGAATGAGCGAGCTGCAACTGAGTGTTCAAAGTAACACTGTGGATACACTTGACAAACGCTCTTGTCAAGAAGCCTCTTGCTTTTTCATGCCCACTGCACAGCCGGAGACCTCTTCTTCCTACAGTACCGACACTGCACCTCAGCAGAGAGCCGCCCCTGTCCTCTTGCAGTAGCTGATAAATCAGAGTTAAGCTGATGAATTCTATTAATTTTTCTCCATCTTTCTTACACTGAGGTACCCTTCTTGGACACAAAAAAAATTCCATTTTGCTCCTTCATGCAGTATCCCCCCAGTTAGTCATTTTACTTGTGGGTGAGGTAAGAATTGGACAGACACATTTCTGTAACCTTCCTCTCCACTCATCTGTACAGCATTCATTGAGGGCAAGCAGGCCAGAGCTTCCTCTAGAGCAGCTGTTGCATAGTCCAGGACTTGAAGAACTGGTAATCTGGAATTCTGTATCATTCAAAGCTTTGCCTGCACCTAAAACCACAGATTTCTATAGCATTTCTTGTATAGTAAATAAATACTGGTTGATGTGTGTGTGTGTGTGTTAGAGAAAGAGGGAGGGAGGGAGAGAGAGAGAGAAGAGTGAGAGAACCTTCCTTCCAAGTTCTGCCAATATCCATCATTAGAGCTGTCCACACACCAACCAAGGCTCTCACTACCTCAGCTCTTTCTTTCCAAAGCCTACAACCTCCACTCTACCTTATCTGAAATCTATAGATATCCTGAGTCCAGCAAAATACAGCTTGAGAAACAAGATAGCATGGATAACATGGTTGAATCACGCCACAAATTCCTGAACCTCAAATCCAGACTTCTGGTGATGCCTGGGAATCTCAACATAGCCTCTCCCTTTACTCAGTCTTTCAGTTTTCCACAATGACTTCCAAATTTTCTCCTGTAACCTCAGAACTTCAACATCTATATCTTCTTAGAAAAGGACATCCTTATTACCTATTGCCAGAGAAGATACAATCAAACAAAAATTTTCCTCATCATTTTTCTACCAAATTACAAGCCTGCCCACCCACGCATGCAAACCTTAATCTTTCCTTTGGGAAAGTAGACATCTGGCTTTGTACTTAGGGACAGCACTCGTTCTTGAACTGGACCCATGCCTATCATTTCACTTTCTTATGACACTCACTAGACACCCTACACCTTATACACATCCAGCTCAACTTTCTTTCCATTGGACCCTAGAGATCAACTTTCAACAACACAGAGGGATCTTCCATTTGAAAGACAAAGGTTGAAGTCACAGACTTCTCTTTTCCAACTCTCACTGCCTGCATTCTGCAAACCTTAATGTTCTTGCTGCCCTGCTCCCATTTCCTGCTCTCCCACTTACATATTAGCAGGCCTTGCTCTCACCCTAACCTCATCACTGCAACTCACAAGCATGGGCAGGGACCTCAGGACCTAGATGGTGTTACAGTGAAAGGAGAATTTTTACCTGCTTTTTGCTTTCTTATCATGTTGGGAAGACTTTGGACAAAAGATTCTCAGTCTTTTTGGTTGTTCTTGGTAATTACAACATTTCTGCTTTCCCTACTTGTTATCCTATTACACCAACTTGAACAATAAAACAACTAAATAAAAGTAGTAGTTTTATTGTACTACCCAGCTATTAAACCATAGAGCTCCAAAAAGTTCTGGCTCAGGACTTTCTTCATATTTCTTTTTTTATCCTAGGAGATTCCCTTCTGACTAAAGGCTGAGGATATTAGCTACATATAAATGATTTATAAATTCTTGTTATCCTATTACACCAACTTGAACAATAAAACAACTAAATAAAAGTAGTAGTTTTATTGTACTACCCAGCTATTAAACCATAGAGCTCCAAAAAGTTCTGGCTCAGGACTTTCTTCATATTTCTTTTTTTATCCTAGGAGATTCCCTTCTGACTAAAGGCTGAGGATATTAGCTACATATAAATGATTTATAAATTAATGTCTTTACCCTAGAATACTCTTTGAAACATCAAAGTTTCATCAAGCTTCAATTTATGTGTTAAAGAACTTAAATTTCACTGTGGCTAAAATGGAACAAATAATAAGCCTCTCCTGTTCACATGCCCCACAAGAGCCATTGTGACACCAGGCCTGGGATGTTGGCATTACCATGAACAATCTGTTCTTGATCTCTTCCTCCCTTGTACCCAGTTGATCGCCAAGTAGTCTTCACTTCTGAACTCTGTCTCTAGCAGATTCACTTCTCTCCTGCTCTAATGCCACCTGTCAGGCCTCATTCTATCTTCTCATGCCTGGACAATAGTCTTGTAATGTTTCTTCTCCACTGACTTTCTCTTTTTCTAGTCTAGTCTCTGAAATCTTCATTTCACAATACAAAATTGATTGTGCCATTTCAACCCTTGCCGACATTTCAATGGAGCCTTATTTCTCCCAGGATAAAGACCAAAAGATATTACAAGACCCAGCAGGATCTTCCTTGCATCCATCTCCCTTTGCTGAGTTACACCTTGATTGGCTGTCAGTGTTTTGAATTGACCTTGGTGCATTCTGTCATCACATCCACCATCATTCTTTCCCACCTGCCTAGAAACTTCTATCCTTCCCATCAAGTTAACTCCCATTCCTTAAATATTAATTCACTTATTACTTACCAAGAGGAAACTTGCTGACTTCTGATTAGAATATTTCATACTCTCATGCAACCATTTTAAATCTATAATTTTTTAATACTTTTTAAGGCGTGTTTCTGTATTTTGATGAACATTAC